TTCTGTTGGAGCGAGATCAGGTGAGGCACCTTCAGCATTTAAAAAAACATTTGCCTTGTCATAGAGACAGACTGATTTTTCTGGAAGGCTTCACACCACCTGTTTGTCTGTTGATTACCATGGACGACCAACAGAGGGCGCTGTAGCACAAAGTGAGCAATCATCACCTTCTGTCAGGGTGAATGAAATTCTTTAAAGCGTGTGACCTGCTCTGTTTCTCCCATCATTTGCTCCCTCTACAGCTCAACATGGCTAAAAACACAGAGTCCATCCTGGAAGGCTTCAATGAGGGACCACTCAAATTCCCACCTACTTATAAGTTTGATGTGGGCACTCATACGTACGACACCAGGTGCGTCCTGTCGCCTCCTTCCCAAACTTACTCAACCAGATTTAATTTTCCTAGAGACTGAGGCTCAGACCTGCTGTGATGGTCTGTCCCTCTTTGCTTCTCTTCCGTCAGTGCTAAGAAGAGGAAACCTGCCTGGACGGATCGCATCCTCTGGCGTCTTCGCCGTACCGGCTCTCCAGTTCCTTCCCACAATGCGGCGCTGCAGCGGGGTCTGACCTCGTGGTTGGGTGGGGCGACTAAAGTGACACAGCGTGTATACCGAAGTCACATGGGCTACACCATCAGTGACCACAAGCCTGTTTCTGCTGTGTTTTCACTGCATGTGAGAGAATATTTCACACATCTCCTCAAATACACTGTAAATGTATAGTTATGTTTTATTTAACTGTCTGTGCTCTTTTTTATTCTAGTTCCCCTTCAGGGTGGACATGCCCTTGGTGGTGCTGCAGGTAAACAAGGAGTGGTGTAAAGTCTCAGATGCTACAGTCAGATTAGCTTTTGCATCAACTTATCAGCGCAGCTCATGGGACTGGGTAGCGATATATAAGGTAATTGTTTTTGCTCGAAAGCTCCGGATAAATTCTTACAATGTGAAGTGTCAGAGTTGGATACCATCTGTTACTTCTGCACAGGTCGGATTCAGACATCATAAAGATTACCAGGCATACATATGGGCCAAGGGAGAGCATTTGACTCAGGTGTGTGCGATACTCAAATTTACACATTTATTTTGTGCCACAGCTGAACTCAGCGTTAATTTCTCTCTGTTCCTCTCTTCACCAGGTGACATTTTCAGAGGAGGATATGCCAAGAGATGATTGTGAATACATGCTAGGTTACTACAGCAACAATATGAACAGTATTGTTGGATTGTCAACACCAATTCAGGTAAGAAAAGTCAGAAGACAAAAAGAAACCATCTCACTGCTTCATTTGTGAATGGATAGGCACATATATACATGGCCGAAAGTATATGGACATGCAAACATTACAGTCCTATGTGACTGAAATACCTGCCCATCAATATGCTGCTGCTACAACAACCTCCAATCTTCTGGGAAAGATTTTCACAAGGTTTTTGGAGTTAGGCTGATTCACACTGGGCATTCCTGTTCATCCCGAAGGTATTGGATGAGGAAGAGGTCAGGCCATTCCTGTTCTGCTACACCAAACTGGAAAAACCATTTCTTTATGGACCTGGTTTTTCTACACAGAACCATTGTCATGTTAAAACAGGAGAGGAAACTTCTTCAAACTGCCGCAAAGATCACACTACATGGGTGAGAACCAGAGGGACGTAAGTGACATATGAACAACTTTATAGGGAAGCCAAAAGAAAGTGACCATACTTTGCCCCCACATGCATCAATGAGCCTCAGCCGCCCATGACCCTGTCTTCGGTTCACCACTTTCCTTCCTTGGATCATTTTGATGGGTACTGACACACTGCAGACCGGGAACACCCCACAAGAGCTAGCCATCACAATTTGGCCCTTGTCAAAGTCGCTCAGATCCTCATGCTGCCCTTTTTTCCTGCTTCTAACACATCAACTTGAGGATAAAATGTTCACTTGCTGCCTAATATATCCCACCCACTGGAACCTGTCAGCTGACACTTCAACTGTCAGTGCTCATAATGCTAATCGGGGTACATATGTATCATTTTTGCCCCAAATGTCACTTATGCCCCTTTGGCTCTTGCTACTGTTGGAAGTTTATCTAGTCAGATACTGTGCTTAACTGCCATTTTTGAGATACTTTGACATAACATAAAATAGATACCTTATTGGGAAATCAGCAGCTGTTTTGATAATCATTTTTAAAAGCTAAACTTATCTGATTACAGCTCCTAAAATCTAAATGTTTTATGACTTATGATAGTAAACTTATATCTGAGTGAATAATATTTGCATTTCTGTGTTTTGGTCAGACAAAACAAGACATATGAATAAGTCAATTTCAGTTTCGGGAAATTATGATGGTATTTTTTTTATTTTATAGACTAAACAATTAATAGATTGATCAAGAAAATATTGGCCAGATTATTTGTTTTTTGAAATTCTCTTTTTATTGGGTTGTACTGTATGTATGTATGCATCAATGACATTAATTATATTATATAACACTGACAGGGGTCATTCTGTTGCACAATTAGTAGTTTTGATCCGTTTTGCTGATGATATTTTTAGTTTATACAATTCTGAGTGTAAGACTTGTACTTGTATTTGAGTATTTCTATTGCTTCTTTTAACTTAAGTAAACGATATGGAGAGGTTTGTCCACATACTTTCGGTCATATATTTTCCTTTTTAGCAACCTCGCTCATGCAGTTATCTTCTCTTGAATCCTCCATCCTAAACAGATCAAGATTCCAGTGCACAGCCCCACCGCGCATCGCTCCGACAGCTCAGATGTTAGCTCAGAAGACGACAGCACTCTGGTTCTGCTGGCTCCAAGCTCCCGCAGCCCGAGCCCTAAAACTGGCAAACACCACCATCGCCACCGTCGTAGCCGCAGCCCGGCTGTCCCTGCTCTTTCCTCCAACCCCCTCCCCTCCCTGCAGGGCCTCAGCCTCTGTCCTCGCTCCAAAGAAGGTCAGGCGCGCAGCCGCTCACCCTGCTCTGGCGCTAAGAAGGAGCGATTGGTCTCCCCTGAAACTGTGCACTCTCCCTCCATCAGCCCACTCAGTCCCCGCAGTCCCGTGTCTCCAGGCGGTGGGGTGACCGCGCCGGAGGCCCTGATTGCTGCCATCTTAGGTGAACACAGACCAGCTCAGGTTAGCCCCACGGGGGTCAAACAGACAGGAAAGACAGGGGATACAAACACTGCAAAAAAACTTTAACATCAGTTGTTATAAGGAAGTACTGTACAAGGAGAACGATGGCAATATCCATGCATTCAGAGTCTGATCTGATCTTACAAAGTCTCTGTGCTCGTAGAAGCAGCACATTTAATGACTCCTAACGTAGTTTGCAAACATTCCGCATTGTAGCCCTGCAGCTCTCTGTTTCTGAATCTACCATCATCTCATACACTATGTGTATCTTGGAGTCAAAGATGTGTCCAGACTCCTGATGACAAGTGCTTTAATAGACTCATGAGCTATATCATACGTAAAACAAACATATTGAATGTGAAACCAAAGTCAGAGTAAACCTGTGATGGATGTGAGCAGTGGTTATTGAATATAGCAATATGGATCCATGTGAACAGTCTCATATCAAAGTAAGGACCCTGGACTAGAAGTATTGATGGTGTCATAGTTCACAACCCAGTGTGTGTGTGTGTGTGTGTGTGTGTGTGTGTGTGTGTGTGTAGGTCTATGTGTTAACACGTAAATTAAATGTGTGCATTTTGGACCAGATGATGGTTTAACATTTAACTCTATAGTTCTTGGTCTGTATTCATAAAATGAATTTAATGTATCCACGAAATAGAGATAGAGCATTTCATCAGCTCAGCCAATCTGAAATGAACATGTGCACCATGTGACTTGAACAGTAATCATGCTCTTTTTCTTAGCAGCTTTGTGAATACAGCCCCTGTTCTATAGAGGTCAGTGAGTGGATGTTTAGGCTAACGTGTTTGTTTTGCTTTTAAGGAAAACAGTGTCATGTAATTGTGTGAGTGTGCAAATAAAACCAGAACAAACTAAATACTGCTTATTGGACAAACATTACTTCAAATTGTGAGGAAGAAGTTTATATTGTGGACTCAAGTCACATAATGAACACATAATGAGTGCGGTATGACTTTGATACAGGACAGAAAATCTACAAAACAACAAAACAAATGTCAGTCTCTTGGAAAATACAATTAGTTAAGACAAAGAAGATCTTGAGGATAAGTGTGCACAGCTTATGGTTCGCCCTGAAGTTTGTAATCAAGATAATCACTCTCTGGATTAGCGAGTGGGTCTAAAACCAAAGAGAGACACCAGGGTTAAGAGACAAGACAAGCTGCAGTATGTTTTACCTGATGGAAAACTGCATACATATATGCACAGGTTCTCAGATTAGGGAAAGGTGATTCTACGTCTCTAGAAACCCTTTAAATAAGTGTCATACTTTAATCTCTTCAGGCCTTTTAAAATCCTTAAAATAAGTCAAATACTTTCTCCTCCTCCTTTTGTTGCATCTGGGACATAACTTATTACTGCACTCTATATCTATTCTGTTTGTATTTTATGTTATTGTACGTATTTCATTTTATCTAACTGCTCACATCCCATTTCATTGTCTTTTCATTGCCTATCGCTAATGGCTGATTCTGTTCTTTGCCTACGTAAAACCCTTAGGCCTGTGTTTGCTGCCTGGCTAAGTGAAAAAGTACTTCATACTTTCACTGTTTCATGTCTGTCAAGAATCTTAAATTATGTGAACCATTTAATTTATATCCCAGAGGGGAATATTTAAGGCCTTAACCTGTGATGATGAGTCCCAGATTGGTTTTTATAAGGGTTCATACACACAGATGAAGGTTGACAACCACTTTCTTTGTATAAACCACTTCTATAGCAGCTGTTGAGATGAAGTTTATCTAACATTTAACCCAATGATTTATCCTCAGGGACGTTATTTGATCTTAAATTGAGCACGCCCCCGTCTGCGCCACGTGGTCTGTGCTCTTCAACAACATTGGCTGCAGAGAAATTACTTTTCCGGTCGGAAGAAGTTGTCTAGCCTCATAAATACAGCCGTCCGAGCATCCCTCCACACTTCACCCGGTGGGCCGAAACCTGAAGCAGCGAGGTCACTTCAGTGTGTGAGCAGGAGACCGAGCTAAAGCCTGTAAAATAACCCTGTAAAGTAACCCTGTCCCGGCCTCTACAACTCTATAAGCAGGTGTCGGTTATCCGAACAGCTTACATTAGCCTGTCAGCTAACAGTGTGTTCAAGAGGCAAGATGAACGGCCATCTGAACGGTTTCCATAACAACTCGCTCATTGATGAAGACTGCTTCCTCTTCACCTCGGAGTCAGTCGGAGAGGGTCACCCCGGTAAGTTGTAACGTGTGACTGTCTGTCTGTGATTAATTAGCCCGATAGCATCGTGTTAGCCTCTGAAACAAGGTCATGTGGTCTGTGACTGTGAGCTCGGCGTGTTGTTGTTGTCTCTGTAGCTTTAACACGATTACAAAACCGACTCCGTGAAACACAAATGTCCTTGCTACATGTAGTTCAGACAACCCACATCCTCTGAAACATAACAGCGGACTGTTTAAAGGCTGCTTAATAAAGTTTATGGTGTTAAACGACCCGGTGGCTAGCTGCTACAGCTAACATTACGCTAGTTAGGACTGTTGTTGTCTGTCAATCATCTGTGGCTCCACATGGTTGAATGAATACGTTTACAGAGTGAGGTGGGGTGTTTTATTACACAACAACTTATAGTACAACTACTATAAAACGGCTAACGCGTAAGGTATATATATATATATATATTTTTTATTTAATGTGTTTATTTAATTTAATTTAAGTCGGACAGGACAGCTAGCTACTGTTTGGTGTTACATCATTACAGAAACTGCTTGACTGCTGCAGGAGCATCTGGTTTGTTATTACCTGGTCAAAATGTCCTGATTCCTCCATAGACTGTGTGTACAACTATATGAGATTGTTTTAATGTTTTACTGTATACATTATATATATTATATTAACTATAAGTGAGGGACACTTCTAAGTCTCCAAAATGGCCATAAAAAATGAAAATAGTAATGCATGGTAATTGTATTAGACTGCATCAGTTCTGAGCAATATGTACCTTATAGTAAGCTGCTTACATCTGTAATACTTAGACGTTTTAACTGCAGAACTGTTCAGCTGTTTGTTGTACATTTCGCTGCAGTTGTCGGTCTTCATTGGGGGCAGTGGGGGAAGCTCCATTACAACAGATAATAGGCTTACCAGCAGTCCTAAATATAGGTACTGCAGGGGCTGCTGCTCTACTGCGGGTGTAGTCACATCCACATACTTTATAGTTGCAGGACACTAGAAGCACCTACATACTTCTCTACTAATGTGTTTCTTGACACTTTACATTATGAACATCCAAACAGCTTAGGCCGTCCTTGCAGTGCTTTTGAAGGGAATAACTGCAGTATATTTCAGAGAGGGATGTAGATACTACTACTACTACTACTACGCTGTTGAACTAAGAGACAAAGTCTGAAGTTATCACAGTTATCAGGTTGATATCCTCTTTATTTGTACATCATTAATCATTGGCCCTGTAGGTGCCCATGAGGTGAAAAAACCTGTTTGGTTTTGTGTTTTAGTTTCAGTCGAACTGCAGAAGGTGCCAGAAAAGTTTAAAAGAATGTCCAAATGTAGATAAAAACGTACGTCTTGCTCTCATGTTTAATCTAACAAGCGTTTTAACACCACCACATTGTCTTTGTGAAAAGAGTGAAACAGTGGTTTTAGCACTATAATCTGTGTTTTAAAACACCTGTAATTAAAAACACTTTAATAAGCATGGGCATCCACCCAATATGTGACTAGGATCTCTCTATGTTCTCTCTGATATAAACAAAACTGAAGCATTGCTATTTAGTGTTTTATGTGTATGGAGTGCTGAATATACTGTTACTGTTTTACTCCACAGATAAGATTTGTGACCAAATCAGTGATGCTGTGTTGGATGCACACCTCACACAAGACCCTGATGCCAAAGTAGCATGTGGTAGGTCATTTACAGAGTATTAATTCACCCAGTCATGTTGCTTATTTTTATTTTTTATTTTTTCCTTCCTCTATTGAGGAATGTTTTCTGATGTATCTTTTAAAATAGCCCTGTTTCAACCACATTTTACCAGGATCCAAAGAGCCCCTGGAACTAAACTCGGGGCCTAAATCAGGAACTCTTTACTCATTTTTATAGTATTCTCTGGTTTCATGAAGTGACGATGAGGTACTTAACTGAATATACCTGAGATGCAGGTGGTGATGGCTAAAAGCGTTCAGGTTTTAGGTTGCTTGTAATCACAGTTCTTCAGTGGACTGGATGTTTAAATAGCACATACAGCATTTGCTGTTTGTCTTATTTAACAGAGAATACATGTTTGTCAAACTAGTTTCACTTGAGTAATTAAGTGAAGGTAATTATTTTTATTAGGTTTCACTATGACGTAGAATTATTGGCACACACTTTCACAAAAAAAAGGGCCATCTGCCGCAGATTAATTTGCATCATATCATCCAAAATGGGGATGGGGCTTACGGTTCACGTCCTACATTAAGGCCTAAAGTTTTATATGGTTGCTTTAGATGTTGATAATAAAGCTGCAATAAATAGTCAATTAGTAGATTGAAAATGAATTACCTACTACTCTGATAATTGATTTTAAGTTTAAGTCATTGTCAGGACGCCCTGGTAGCTCACCTGGTGGAGTTGGTGCCCCATGTACCAAGGGCTGATTCTCTCTTTCACCTCCTTATTCTAATTGTTGTTGTTACTCTCATCCATCACACTGCATGTCATTGTGTCCTCAGAGACTGTTGCTAAGACGGGGATGATCCTGCTGGCGGGAGAGATCACCTCTAGGGCCCACGTTGACTACCAGAAGGTTGTCAGGGACACGGTCAAACACATAGGCTATGATGACTCCTCCAAAGGTACAGTGGTGAAAGTTTGTAACTGAGTTTACTTCTGTTTGAGCTTCATGCAGTTAAAGCCCCTGTCTTGGAAACAAACGTATTATTCAGTAATTATTAAGATTTACTCTCAGGATTGTATCAAATCATCAGTTCTGTAGACTGTGAAGAGTCTTACCAGAGTAGTGGTAGCAGTATCAGATTGTCTAGTGAGAATTATATTGTATAGTGAGCTCAAAATATCTCTCAAAGCTTTGTAAAAAAAAAAAAAAAAAAAAAAAGTAATTATTGATAATTGATAGGCAATAAACCAAAAGCTGTCATTATGCATCTGAAAGGGGGGAAAGGTACCTTTTTAGAAGACTTTAAGGAGTGAGTATTGACATGCGTAGTGTCTGAAATAGTTTTTTGTTTAAGTGAATTATATCTTTCTTACTGTCTTAAGTAGCTGAACCAGTTAGGCTACCTGCTCAGGAGGCACTGAAAGTTGTGTACCTTTCCCAGGTGAAGTCCTGTCTCTCCAGGCTGAATCAGATGGATTCCTGGAAAAATGCAGCAATGCGTTTTACCTGTTAGCTTCTTGCATAATAAAGAAGCCGCTTTGGCTGAATGAGAAAACGTCTTTAACTCTTTACCTCCAGTCGAGTGGATAGTTTTACTTCTACCTGTTTAGGGCTCGATATCAGTAAACACTTTTTTAAACGTATTTGCCAAAATAATCCAGTACCTAGTAATGTACTGGGGTCTAGGGGAAAGAAACTCACTTTAAGCATACTGGTGTTGTCTTTTCTTTTTTTTAAACAAATAACAAACCTACACTGTTTCACCATTGTGAATGAGACATGAGATGAGATGAGACAGATTACATATCAGAGTTCATAAATTTAAAGTACATATCTGAAAAAGGCTCAAGTACCACGGTGAGGATTGAAATGTGAAACATTTACTGAGGATTAGTTGTTTTGTTCTGCAGGCTTTGACTATAAGACCTGCAATGTTCTGGTGGCTTTGGAGCAGCAGTCCCCTGACATTGCTCAGGGTGTTCACCTGGATCGGAAAGAGGAGGACGTAGGAGCCGGTGACCAGGTCGGATGGTTCATACATTTATGTTTATTTGATCCACAGCTGGGTAACTGGAGCCAGAAATGTGATTTGTAACAGAGTTTGTGATGTTATTCTGACCTCTATTCATGCTGTGTGCTGTCCTCACAGGGTCTGATGTTTGGATATGCCACTGATGAGACTGAGGAGTGTATGCCCCTCACTATTGTCCTGGCTCACAAGCTCAATGCCAAGATGGCTGAGTTACGTCGAAATGGCACACTTCCGTGGCTCCGACCTGATTCCAAAACTCAGGTTAGACGAGAAAACGCTGCTTCCACTTCCACACAGTCCATCTGCATTACTCAGAAAATAAACCACTTTTTTTGTTTAGTTCCTGGAATACTTGATTGTGTTTGCTTAACAAATATGATTTTCTTTTTTATTTTACTATTGATGAGAGCTGCATCAACAAGCACATTGTCAGAGCCCAGAGTGACATCTTTTGTCCAACCTAAAGGCCACAACTCAAAATCTATAAACTTACAATGTTATAAACCAGAGAAAAACAGCAAATCCTTACATTTGAGAAGTGATCGCTTTAGGAAAAACTACATATCATTTGTTTGTTCTACAAGCTGTTTTGTATGTATTTGTATGGCTCTGACTTCCTGGAGATAAAAACTAATTTTAAAGAACATCCAGTAAACTCTTTTTAAAATTTTTCCCTCAGGTGACCGTTCAGTACAAACAGGACCGAGGTGCCATGGTGCCATTGCGTGTCCACACCGTTGTGGTCTCTGTGCAGCACGATGAGTGTATAGGTCTGGACGAAATGTGCCATTGTCTGAAGGAGCAGGTGGTGAAAGCTGTGGTTCCCAGTGGGTACCTCGATGATGAAACCATATACCACCTGCAGCCCAGTGGCCGCTTTGTCATTGGAGGACCGCAGGTGAGACAAGAATGTCTTTTAAAATCTGCACCTCTTTAGTTATTCTGCACAGTAACTAAATTACTAAAATTAGTCAAAATGAATAAAATCATGAAAAATGTCTGGTCATAAATGTACATAAACCTCCTGTGTTTATCCCCACAGGGTGACGCTGGTCTGACTGGGCGTAAGATCATTGTCGATACTTACGGGGGCTGGGGTGCCCATGGAGGTGGAGCTTTTTCTGGGAAGGACTACACAAAGGTAGATCGCTCTGCTGCGTACGCTGCCCGCTGGGTGGCCAAATCTCTGGTGAAAGCTGGGCTCTGCAAGCGTGTGATGGTCCAGGTTAGTGTACAAGACTCCAAAATCTATCAAGGTGCCAAGGACCGAGGTCACCGGTCAGCTTGAACAGTCACACACACACCGTCCTGTTTGTCAAATACTTCTGGTATTGTGGTTTGTGAAGTTTTTGTGGATGTTTTCTTATTTGTATTTTTTTTTCAGACCTCACCATCCATGTGGAAATGTATCAGGTTGCCACTATACTAATCCTTTTTTATTTATTTATTTATTTTAATATACATAAACACAACTTGAATGATTGAAAGATATGGAATGATACATTTTACAGTTGGAGAAATAAACTCAGTGCTCTTACAGTGTGTGGACAAACTCGTGTACGTAATGGAGATCTTTGGATTTACTGTACTAACATTTTCCTGTTTGTTTTTTTTAGCCCAGATGCAAATTAATAACTACAAATTCTAAACTTGTTCAATATTGAGAAAAATATGTCTCGACACTGTATATGCTGTGTTAAAATGTCTCTCCTGTCCTTAATGTGTGCATAATCTGTGACAACTTTTAGGTATCCTATGCTATTGGAGTTGCCCATCCACTCTCTGTCTCCATCTTCCACTATGGGACCTCCCAGAAGAGCGAGAAGGAGCTGCTGGAAATTGTGAAGAAGAATTTTGACCTCCGTCCGGGAGTTATTGTGAGGTATCCTGTGGTGTCTAATTTCAGATTTGGACACAAACATGCACTTATGTCCCCATTATACATATTTTACACATACTAAAGGTTTCTTTAAAATAATTTTATTTCTGCCTCAGGGATCTTGACCTGAAGAAGCCCATCTACCAGCGCACAGCAGCTTATGGTCACTTCGGTCGTGACGACTTTACATGGGAGGTGCCCAAGAAGCTGAAATACTGAAACCCCTCCTCTAATCTAAGGTGTCCCACAGATAAATGTGTGTTTGTCTACATCCCTCCTTCCTCCCTCTTCCTCCTCACAGGCATAGCCATGTCACCGCAGCCTCTGCTACATGAGAAGACGTCCTTTCCCCACCTTTTTAGCACTGTACACATCTCCAAGAGAAAATAGTATTACCGATGCCAAGATATTAAATTGAACAGACATGTTGCTGTGTTCAGTCTTGCCAGCTTTTCTTCATCTTTGTTTTGCTGGCTAACTTCCATTTTTGTTTTTGTCTGATTAATGGTCATCTAGTTTCCTGACATTGCTAATCAAGAGTGTCTCCATAAATCTGTATTAGTGACATTATGTATTTAAACCATATTTATAGCATATTTCCAGAAGGGACATGTGGGTATTTACCAGTAATGATTGTGTTTTGTAAGAAATAACTAGTATTCCTCAGCTTTTAAATTCAGAATCTCACTGCAGGTTAAAATGTGATCAGTTGGCCTCATCCGTTACTTTCTCTTTAATGTAATTTCCCATTTCGCCTAACTATGTTGGGTCAGTGTTGATTCGCTTGACAAAAACATCAACTCTGTTCCCCTAACTCTTCTCTAACCCTCTATTTTTTTTTTAAATTTGGATGGCACAAATGGGGTAAAACACTTGTTGTGTGCTTGACCCTTCAGTATCTTCTCATTCTTTTGTCTGCTGTCCCTTCAGGCCATATTTTCTGATGTTTTACAGAGAAGTCAGAAGCTGCTAATGTCATTGTGGTTATGTTGGGCTGCATCTTGAAATCACTCCTTTTTTGTAATTTATTTTATTTTTTTTGGTTTAAATGTCATGTGATTGTTCCAAATGATGATGAATGTGTCAATGTGCTACTGACCAAGATGAAGGCAAAGGTAAAGCACTCCTCCTTCCTGAGACTGACTCTGGGTGTAGCTACAGAGAAACCCTGGCTCAGTCGCCTCCAGGTAGGAGCTGCCTTTATCCAATGGCAACACCATACTTGAAATAATTTATAGAATGGCATTTGACTATCGTGGGGCCTAACAGTTGGACCAGCAAGAAATGATGTGTGCCACATGTTTTGGGGGGTTGTTTGTATCTAAAAGTGTTTCACTTGCTTGCACATGATTTGGGTCCTTTAGTCTCACCTGCACATGATGTGAAAGGTGGACTGATGTGAAAGAAGACAAAGAGCAGAGCCACAGACCAAGAATGAGAGCTTAGTGAATGTAGGACATGGTATTACTGCTCTTGTCTTTTCAGCAGTGTTAGTTTTGTACAAATTAGAATGTGGAATCATATGTTACTTAATTCTTGTGGATTTTTGAGTCTTTCACTGGAGTTGGGCAGCACAATGGTTCTGGGCCAGAGACCCTGGTCAAATGACAAGTCCAAGACTTTGTGAATACACTGTATATGCCTTTTGAATGCTTCCCCAGTTGCCCTTCTCCTTCTCTGACTTTACTCCTGGATGTGTATCCTCCCAATACAGTTGCAGAGTTAAGGCTAAGCCAGCGGTAAGCCTAAGTGCGATTGGTATTTACATTAAAAACCACCGTAGTTGTTCCCTGCTCTGAGCTGAGTGCAGTTAGTGTGTCTAAAAATGTCTTCATTGTGTAGCTAGGTGGCACTGTGTCCCCATATATAATACTGTAATTAAGATTTTTATTCTATTCTGGTAACAGAGTCTTTAGTTTGGCTCATCTGGCACCACCTTGTGGATCCTTGGGTGTACTGCAGTGAAACCTCAGACAGGAGCCCTGGAGATTAGTCTCCATCATCCAGTGAAATGACTCAACCTCCCAAAGATTTTTTACCATGTGTTTGCGTCCTCTAGCTCATCCACAGACGAGACAAATGATTGGTTGGTGTTGTACAGAGAAACCAGCCTGTTTACATAGTCTCCTGTGGGGGAGTTGAACAGCATTTTTTTCCTGTTAGATCGGTTTTTAAATGATTGGAAGAGAGAGTCTGTTAGTGTAGTTGCTGAATGTGTAAAAGTGCCTTTCTGATTTTCTGCAATGCTCCTATCCGCTGACCCCAAATATCTGACTCCTTACCTATTGACCCTGCTCCACCAAGTTTCTAGTATCAAAATAATTCCCACTTCAATAAGTAATACTGATGATTTGTTGTTGAGTTTCTTTTTAAACCCTTCAAATAAACTGTACTCTTCCTCGTGCTTTTGGCTGTTTTATTTTCTATCATAAAAGAGATTTATCTGGTTACATGTTAAGGTCATACTGTAGATTTAATCCAACCTTACTTACATGTTATCTTTGATAATTAGTTTAACTGATTAATTGTATATGGAGGTTCTCATTACACACAATGACAAATTGTTGATCATAAAAAGGCTGAAACAAGTCAAATGTGGTATTTAGCATAAAGAGGATGTAAAGATTATTCCTCAGGAAGCAAGAATGGTATTAGTAAATACTGAAGTTCAGGGTTAGAAATCATTACCACTAAGATTGGAGCTTAAATATAACCAGGTTTGTGATTTGATTATTGAATAGAGAACTTCCTAAATGTAAAATAGTGTTGGCATGCTAATCTATGAAAAATGTCATGTACAGTACAGTACAGTGCTCCTTTAAAGGTAAAAGAAAAGTAAGATCTTGTGACGTTTCACAGCCCATAATATAGACACTTTATTTAATAACATTTATTCAGATAATTCTCCTGAGATCATTTGAATGTAAATGTAAGATTACAAGACGAAACTTCATTAAAGCAGATGAAACCTTTAAACTTTATATATAGAACAGAGCTGAGTACAAAATTTGAAAGAAAAAATTGATCAAGTATACATAATAATTCATCCTTTTATACTAATCATTAAATTTTCTGATCCTACAGTCGAGCTTTTGTATCTTTTCAACATTCCTTTGACTGCTGAAGTTCAGATAATCCTTTTGTCCATCTTTGTCAAGCTAAGCTCTGGTATGTACAATGCAAAATCACAAAATGCAGCAAGATATCAAATCAGTATCTGAAAGAAAGGCTATCAGGCAGAATGCCACAGGTGTCAAATAGAAAAATGTTTGCAGCTCTGGGTCATCTGTGGGGGCACCGAGGTTGACTCATAGTTGCACCCTGAAAAGAGACGTTTGGATATATTTTATATGCTGTTGTATGTTACATTTTTAATATAATTGTTTGAGGTTTTCACACCTACCTCAACATCTTAGATCGTGTTGTAGTTGAGAGGCTTCCAGGCAAATTTCTGACAGTAAAACACCGTCTGCAGGGAGAAGACAGGTCACATGTGCTCACTACTGAGCATTCATAAGCAAAACAAGTTTACAACTTGATAGCAGTTTACTTACTCCACATCTGAGGGCAGTCTTGATGTCTCTGCACCTGTAGGTTGTCAAAGTGCATGGGTCTGAAAGTGAAAAAAACAGGGACATTTGAATGATAATTGATTAGTTGATGGATGAGTAAACATTTGCTTGTTCCAGCTTCTAAAAGATGTGACCAGGTGTGATCTGTTTTATATAACTGTAAAGAGTTTTCTAACAGAGACAATTTTAACTAGTTAAACAGGCGCAACTAATAACAAATGTTGGCTGCATTTAATTTAGGTGTACCGGTTCAGGGGCCTTGTGGTTTACTACTGGGATGCCTACATGGAGCAAGGTCTGCATTGGGGTTGAACTAGTGGATGCTGAAGGTGAGGCAGACTGACCTACAAGAGGAGCCTCCTGCCCTTTACACAGGTGCATGAGAGCGCAGATGGCCTGAGGGGTGGCGTAGCTCAGGAGGGCGTCCAGCACCGTCTTGCTAAACTTGCCAACCACTGCCTCGCACTGATCGCGGTAAGTTGAGGGCAAAATGTGACAAATCTCCTCCAGCAGTTGAATCACAGCACCCTGCAGAAGAAATAAAGAGATAGAGAGGGGACTGTACAGCATGGCATCCACAAAGCAGACGGGGCTGTCTGGAGGAATTTAGGTGTCTACTTACGTGTGTGTCTGTGTGGGTGTGCAGGACAAAGAGATACTGTGTTTACTCGTGTGCACGTGTGTTCCTTCACTGCATGAGTGTCACTCACCTCAGTCCTTTCTTTTGGCAGCAAGTCCTCCAAAGTCTTGACAAGAAAAACGCAGAAGGAACACTGTGTTGTGGGCTGCAGCTGAGTGACAGACATAGAAGAAGAAGTAAAGCACAATGAGATCAAACTTGGGGCCTTAGAACATAGAAAATTATTCTTTTAAAATGTTTTAATCTAAGTTGTACTTTAACTCACATTTTCACCTGTCACAGACACCTGAAGGGCCTCCTTGACAAAATACCGGAGCATCTCATCCTGCTTGTCGCAGGTGCCACAGAGCCCAAGGATTTTGCAGACCTGCGCAGGTTTCTAGAGAGAAAGAGATGGGACAATACGTGTTGAGATTAGACCTGCCAGCAGCAGCAGAAACACACAGTTAATATTTCACTCATAATAGTTAAACTAAACTTAAACTTACGATAACAGTAGAAATTAAGTTGATGGCCACTGGGAGCATCTTCTCCACCTCTTCTTTGCAGACTTTGGCAGCTGGTCCAGGCAGGTGAGCACACAGGCTTTCAATGCCATCCATGATCTTTTTCTAAAAATAAAGTGCTGCATTAGGTGTGTGGTCTTTGAACTCAGGACAATAGGCCTGCTCTGGATAAGTTTGGGTATTGCCCACTATATAAATCTAAACACCAGTTAAAAAAGGAGAAAAAAAGAATATGATTATTTTAGGAGACGCATTATTCCTTCTGTTAAACACAATCAAAGTTTAGAAGATTGAGTGAACAGTTTTAAGTGCTGTCACTGAAACCAATGACATTATTTCCTGCCTCCAAGATCAAATGTGTTATGGCAGTGTTTTATAGATGGTTCACTGAGTCACCTAACTTTAAACATACTAGACATTTAGAGTTTACACAACATTAAACAGGTATAAAGACAGGAGGCAAACACTCTTAAATGCGTAACGGCAAAGCCAGTAGCCATCTGACTCCACAATACCACAGCACCCAGTACCTCCCACCTCCACTGATTAGGACTGTTTAACCTGCTATGCACAAATATTTTTGCACAAAACCTTGTAACAATTATACATCTTATATACATCAAAACTTGTATTCCTCCCACCGGGAATCAATAAAGGAACATCTTATTTTATCTTATCTTTATGGCTGGTTTTAGCTTTTACCTTTGTGGCAAAAACTTAAGCTACATAGAAAAGCCATACAGACATAAAAAGAAAACATGACTTATTAATTAAAATGTTAAATAATTAGACAGCTTATTGAAACTATTATTTTTAGCGCAACAGTTTGTTTCCATTAACTTTTATTTAATAACAGTCTATTTCCGTAATCAGTCCCCGACCCCTCGCCTTTCAGCCAATCACGTCCCTCCGAACACCCTAACCAACAGCGGCCAGTTAGCCTACTAGCTCCTAAGAAGCTAAAAATAATATACCTCAGTACAATGGAGGTGAATGGCATTGGGTTTGTGGTGTTCATAGCAAAATTACATTTTACATGCATAAACATCTGTGTGGACCTTTTTTACAGTTTGGTTTTAAACTTTAAAATATAGTTTTTTTAAGTGCTTTTTTCAAAGGTGATAATTCTTATTTTACATCAAACCATGAATATAGTTTGTACTACAATAATGGGATGTACTATCCATACTATATAATGGGTCTTGTGTTGTACACCTTTACAGTTTACAGAAGCACTATGTAAACAACTACTTACTTACTTAGTATATTAATTTAAAAAAATATATATATATACAGTATATATATATTATCACAGAAGTTAGAGGTTAGAGGTTAGAGGACCAGACTAGAGGTTAAGGTTAGTGGTGAAATGTCTCTCTATAAAGATGTGTGACTCAAAACAGTTGCTAGTAAAGAAATTAGTGTAGTAAAGTAGCCAATTTGTAACCAAGTGTTCTCTCTTTGGACTCCTACAGATCAGATTAAACTTGAAGGAAAGAGGATCTTAGATGTCAGGTGAGAACAGAAACTGCCAGTGCAATTTCATATCAACTTTATTTAGACATAGAAAAGAAGAAGTGGCTAAAAAGACTAAAAAGAAAAGGGACATGTGTGTGTATGTCACTGTGTGCACGACTGCTCACACATTTTTTGCATCTCTGAATGTGGCGAATGTGTTTGTTCTGATAAAAGACCAGGTGGATAATAAAAAGTGTTTTTTTTTAATGTAATGAAAACTATTCAACCACGGATCTTAGCAAGCACTTGAGATAGCAGAATGTGTATTTTAATCTTTACTTATGAATTTGGACATTCGCAGTATCAATAATAATATCAGTGAGCAAATATTAAACCTCTGGAATGTGTTTGCTGCTTAGTCGACTATTGTACTCACCTGGAGGTCTGCATTGGTAAGCATGTCAACAAGGAGTTCAAATATTTGGGTGCAGTCCTTGCAGATGTCCCCATTCTGAGTATAAAGTCAAAGTCAAACAATGAGATTTATTAACAGATTTAATCACATATACACACCAGGTGTTCTTAGTTGTTGCATGCATGAGATACTTTTGTGAACGATACTTCCATTAAAGAAAAAGCATGTTTCATGAGGAAGAAACACCTTTTTTTTATTGGGATTTTTGCAGGGATATACAACACTTCTAACAGTGAGAATTACAATTGCCTTTCATAATGCCCCATAGAAGAATAAAAAAACATGTATTTTCATAAAGAGGAAGAAACATGTTTGTGGTTGAAACTAAACATTCAACGTCAAAACAGCTGCGATATATTTTAAATCTTCTTGGAGTGGAAGTGTGTATTGTTGAAGAGACTTCCTGATTTTGAAGAAATGCAAATATGAGGTCTCTCTGTAAGAACTCAACACTTTTACACTTTCATTAATTACAATGGTGTTGTTGTATTATATTGTCCTGTAGCGCCATCCAAACCTCCAAAAATAGCAGTGGTGGAAAACTCTGTACATTTACTCGACTACACTTAAGTACAATTTTGAGGCACTTTTACTTTCCTTGAGTATTTTCCATTTTTTGCTACTCTATACTTCTACTAGTATTGTACTTTATACTCCACTACAGTTATTTGACAGGTATAGCTACGAAGAATAAACTAGTGCAGGTTTGCAACCTTATTGCTTGTGACCACTTCCTATAAAACCTCTTTCAAA